GTTGAGTATTAAAACATTTTAGAGTGACACAAGACTTCATTTAGCTTAGATTTCCTCCATTTTTCCCGTTAATTTTGAGCTTTTCATTCACAGTTAACTGGATCAAATGCGCTCGCTCCAACACCAAAGTATTAAAATGTGGCGTGATTTTGACGAGCCGAAAGGGACGTTTGTTTACCTTTTTGTACTTCGTCGCACAGATCCTTGTTGTCGCTCTGTTAAAATTCTTAAATATTTCGCGATAATAATGGATACAAACAGAGACTCGGCCCACCAGTCCCAAAACGAAGACAATTCTGCGACCCTTGGACTAGAGTTCTTAAATGAGGCAGAAAGAGAAAAACAACGGGAAAGAAGACTCGGCATCATCGCCGTCACGATTCGCTTCACTGAAGAATCACTCTTGATATTGTTGTCCGTCTTTCGCGTCGGATTTGTTGCATTATTCCACCGGTTATCTTATAAAACAATTGGTTCATGCTTTATGTTATGCACTATCGAATTATGGAGCACTTAGGAAGCTTGGAGAACACTTCGAGGGATCTGAGTTTTCGGTGTCTGAGTTTTCGTGACACCCAGCGAGCTTGCCATGAATTCGAGTAGTTGCCTCTAACATAAAATAAAACACTCACGATATGTGAGCATGCCTCAGCCAGTCCAGCTTTGCATCCCAAGCAATGGGCTGACAAAATAGTCCCATCGTTTTCGGAAATGACCCAAATGTTCACATGATGTGAATGCCAAACTCGTGCTCTCACGACATACTTTCCGACGATTACTTTGCCTACAACTGAGGTTACAAATCCCGACATCATTTGATTAAACGCCTCTAGGCTCTTGAACGCCTTGAACTGCTTCTTGGTGTAGAAGATGGTCTCAAGAACGAGGTAACTCAGCACGTCCGACACTTCCACAGGAGGCAAGCATTTTGGACTAAACTTCTCGGCTGGTATGCTTGCAGGGTCAACCTCGATGACCGAGATCTTTTGCAAACATCTTTCCTTCCAACTCTCTCAGCTTTCGGCATACTCAGAGAGCACTGGAATACCTTAAGATGAATGCCAGATACTTTTATCCCTTTTTTCTTTCTGGATATGCGTGTAGTTGGCGAAATAATACGGCGATAAGAGAGAGGGCTTCACCAGAGAAATCGACTAGTTATTCATAAATTTGACACCCGAGGGACACCAACATGACGGACACTAACTTCAGCAAAGCTTGTGACGTCACCTGAAACCCAAGAATAGGAGCGCTTATAAATTCGTGGGGGGGCCGTTTCAGTAGAGAAAGGGAGCTCATTGGAACGAGGCCACTACATCGAATCATGACGCTGAGACTTTTTCCCCAAATCTTTACATCTTGAGTCATAGGAACGAAAGGAAGAGATCTCCATTTCATTGGGGGCATTTCAAAGTTCAAGTTATTAAGCAAACGTGGAAATCTATGCCCTAGGAACGAGGTTATGGGAAAACAAAATTCATCGGAACGTAACCTTGCCGCTTGTATCTAATTCTGTTCCTTTGAATTATTGTGATGGGGGATTAGACAGGACTATGATCTTTCTCGCACTTCTAAGTCAATCACTGAGTTCCAGAGGAATCAAAATGTTGGACCCAAAGCAATATTGCTACACTCAATCGCTGGCCAAGAGGTTTCTCAAGGGTCCTTCATCCCGAGAACAACACGATTCTCTATTTTTAGAGATTTTGGAGGTCTCATTAAGGAAGGAGGATGGTGGGGGGTGTCAAAGTATCCCGTCAATTCCTATGGTTTGTATCCCTATAACCCCAGTTCGATCTCCAGGAATCTCTATCCCGTATCCTTTTAATATTTCCCTTGAACATCCCGTATCCCTATAATTTTTTACCCGAATATCCCGTATCCCGATAATCCCAATAATCAGGTGGTGACTTCAATTGTGCGGTAAGTCCAATTCGTTTCATAACAACGTTAATATTCGTTTCGTTGAAAATAACTTACGCTTAACGTCAATACCTTCTCAGGGACACTCCCTATTTTCAACCCACATGTTAGATGTGGAATATTTTTCGTGATACTATGAACTGGTTAATGAAATCCTGGCCTCTACAAGAATTTTGCTTGTTACTATTTATTACAGATGTGGGCATACGGAAAACCGAGCCTCGGCCTACCACAATAAGGCAACACGCCCGTATTTTCAACAATGAGAAGCAGATAAACCAAGGGAAAATAAGCAAAAAGTGCAACTGGTCTTATCAAAATAGCCAACACTCCTCGCTGTTAACTGAAATTTTTTATTTCACTGGTATAGAACCCGCACTAAGAATGGTGTTCACCAGGTTCTTGCAACATTTCATCAATCATCTCGCCTGAAACTTTCACCTTACAATGAGTTTGAGCAATGGACGTCATTTAAAAGTATCGCAAACAGTTCGAAAGAACGCGTCAAAGCTATCAAAAGAGGAGTCTAAATGAAAACTTTAAGTCTTTGGAATTAATTTTTCGTTTTGCCGCAGACACAAGTTATCATTTGGTGTTTCTACAATGGCACTTAAAGGTCTATTAAGGGTAAAATTTCCTTGACAAGTAAATAAACTTTGTTTCTAGTTAAAACGACGAAAAACAAAGACTTTATAAGCCGAGTAAGGAGTCCAGCCTATCTAATTTGAGAGATTTATTTTTGTTTCCACATTAAACACATCGGGATTTACGGTGTTATCAGGGAGTAATATTAAAATAAAGAATTAAAAGAAAGGAAAACCTCATTAGCACTTCCATATCGCAGCACACCTCGCGAACTAAACTTGCATACACCAAACAACGTCACAAACACACTCACGCATACACAAAATCCTTCAACCGTAACTACAGAAACCCGTAACAACATTCTACCGAGATGGGTCGAGCAAGGAAGTTGTCTCTCAAGTACAGCCAATTCCCCACCCGTCCCTCCTACTCGTTGCCCATTTTCCATCACCCCATTCCCCCACTCCTGTAGTGAGTGCATTGTAAACAAGGCCTAATGAACGATAGCGACGTTAAGACCCTCCTTAAGAGTCATCTTGTTAAATTGTTGGCGAAGTTTCTCTCGGAGCTTCCGTCGCTGCTGTGATACTGACGACTGGTTCGCTTTGAACCGAAGAATTTCCTGCTCAGATATACAGAGATCTTCTTCCGACGAAAAACACTCCTACGATGTAAAATTAAAAACGACGAAAAGGTTAATCGATAGTATACCAATCGAAAGAGAGGCATCCTGTTGGTCACGATCCAAATGTGACGAATCGTAACGCCTTCATTTATGATCGTGTCACCAGTTAACTGAGCGTCTTAAGAGCCCTCTCTGTATTTTTCGCAAAACAAGCTCAGTGGTACTCAGAATTGTAAAGGAGAATACAAAATTCTGGCACAATATTACAGACGAACCCGGATGAGTCAACGATTATCCAAGAGAGAATAATGATGGCTAACAATATAGAAGATCTAAGCAGATTGTAAACAAAAAAAGTAAAACAAAATAATAAATTTCATCTTACTTTTTCAAGAAACACAAATTGTAACGCAACAAGAAGTTTGAGTTTAGGGATTATTCTACCCCAAGGGTTATCGAATCCCAGGGGAAAACCTAAATCGCTATGTAAGGACGGAAGTATGGTTCAAAATGGCTCACCATTGACTCTGTTCCCCCGTCCTTCCAACCCATTAGCTTCAAGAGCCGTTTCTCTTCATCATCAATATTTTCTACGAGCTTTTCTTGCTTTTCATGTCTCGGTGAGTTTTGCTAGAGAGAGAAAAAGAATACATATATAAATAAATAAATAAATAAATAAATAAATAAAGACTATAATGAATAAAGGAATGAATGAATTAATGAATACTTTCATTGATTTATCGTTGACGAAGGGCACAGTATGATTTGTAAAATTACTTCAAGCATCTTCCCTCCGTCACGTAAGCTTCACACCGCAACAGAGAGAGATTAACCAGGCGTGACAATCAAGCATCGGGGAGGGGGTGGCCGAAGAGATTAAATTGTTACCTTCTTCTCCTTGTTTTTACCCTTCTTCTTTCTTCCCTTTCCATTACTGCCCTGTGGCGAGCCACCTCTGACTGGGCTCCCATTTAAACAATCTGTACATGTATTCTCTTCCTCTATTCCTATTGTCGAAGAATCGTTGACATGATTACACGTGTCTCCGCTCTGGTGCACCATTCTGGACCATTTAGTGTACTCTGCCACGTACCTGCAATAGATCACTTCACGTCAATGAATGAATGAATGATTGAATGAAAAATAGCTGGGATTACACCAGAGTTTCTTAACCCTTTCACCCACAAAAGGACTCAGGGCTTGACACTAACGGTAGCCCACTAGCCACAGACTAGTAGAAATTCAGTTTTGGCTAGTGGTTTTCAATTTCCACAAGCCAGTTTTGGCTAGTAAACGGACTGAAATTGTCGTAACATCTAAAAACATCTAAGATGTCACTAGCCACTTGGCTAGTAAGTTGAAAAGTTAGTGTCGAGCCCTGGGACTGGAATCGGATTTCTCCTTTCAGTATCACCCACTGCACGAATCCAACATTTAGAACGCGAGATAAAAGGAAATGTTCGTCAACTTGAGAAACTCCTGATTGTTAAACAAATTCTCCTTGCGATTTCCTTAAGAAACGTATGCAAACATGGTGAAAATGAATACAAAGATCAATCAGAAAAGGCAACAACACATCCGGTATTTTACACTGTTGCACTTTATCAACTTTCTCCGTAGCAGGCTATAGACGGAAGAGTTTGCAATTCTAACGAGCTGGACCAGGCCCCGGTCGTTCGAAGATCGGGTAACGCTCTCCACTAGGTAAGTCTCTATCCAGTGGATAAAGCTACACGTTTTGCTATCACTTAGACAAACTGGATCGCGATTTATCCGTTGCATAGCGTTATTTGCCCTTTTTATAATTGGGCACATTGGATAAATTTGTATCCACTGTATATCCCAGCACATTTTATCCACTGGACAGTAATTTTTCCACTGGATAGCGTTCTCCACCCTTTTAACACCCTAGCCCGGTACCCTGAAAGAGATACGCACCCGCAATCACCATTCCTATAACCCGATTTTTTGTTCTTTCTCCGCTCACAATTGCTCAAGTCTTCACAACTGCATGGTGACCCGCCACTGTCTCCATCATCTTCATCATCTTCGCAGCTGTCTCCATGCCCATTCATTTCCTCTGTCTCCTCCACGTTCTCATTCACACATACCACTTCCTCTTCTAATTCCTCTTCGTTTTTTGCAGTTTCCTCTGTTTTCAGTTCATTGTTCGCTGTCGAGATTGTTAATTGCGCATGACATTTGCATTTCTCTTTGCGTTTCGCTTTTTTTTTCAATCGCTTCTGCTCTCTTCTGAGCTCCTTGGCTCTCTCCGCCTCAGAAATCTCTTCAACAACTTGTTCCAGGCGAGATATGCCTTGCTTTTCTTCAACTGCCACCTGACAATGTAAAGACGGCAAACACTCGTATCATTAAACTCAAAAAATTGCCAGCCAACGGAAGTTGTTACCCCGGCGAACAATTAGCCTTCGAATCTCCGCTTTACCCAGGTCTGCTTCGGTGTCTAACAACCTGGGACTGTTATCAAGTTTCCTAAAGACAAACAACAAAGAAAACGAGCTGGTTCCTGCTCGTTGTTCGTGTCGTTCGTTATTCCACTCGCTGACTGCTCTGCTTAATGTGTTTGGTTTTTTTGTCTTCGTTCGTCAGTTTCAGTTTATTAAGAAAAATTGACAAAATACAAAATATGATGTACCACTGCTCGCAGTTAGCTACAGCTATTCGAGGCGAGCAGTGGCTTGACGCATTAAATTAAGTATTAACATACAAATTATGCTTAGTGGAATTACACTTACAATACTAAGTAGAATTAATTATTGTCATACAGTACATTATAATAGGCTTACAGAATTAACAAGTAGGAACAGTAACAATACTAATTTCAGAACTAAGTATTAAATAAGAATAATTACAATGCTAATTTCAGATAATGAATCCAAGAAAACAAAGTAACAGTTACAATACTAATTTATAGAACTAAGTATTAAGTATGAATAATTACAATATTAATTTCAGATAAGGAAACAAAGAAAACAGAGTTTACGGAGATAAAAAAGAGTAAAAAGGGAGAGCAGAATAATGATAATAATTGAATATTGACCAATATAACATCTGGTAAAGACAAAGATTCACATGAGAATTAAACAGGTTACATTAGAAGCTGGAAGGATAAAGCAGTTTAGTTCAATTTTTAAGGCACATTCAAGTCCGGTAGATTAATATACTCATTCGTTCGTAAGGTTTCGGTTCGATTCGGTTGATCGTTAAGATTTCAGTTGATCTTTCCGTTAAGAATTCGGTTAATCATTAAGAGTTCGGTTGATCTTTCCGTTCTGAGTTCGGTCGCTCGTTGAGAGTTCGGTTGATCTTTCCGTTCAGAGTTCGGTCGCTCGTTGAGAGTTCGGTTGATCATCTGCTTGGCGTCTTGTTTAGTCAGTCACTCGTTCACTAGTACACGTTCTATGCACGATCTAAGCGCCTCTTATCTTACCTCGAAACTTTTCCTTAGAGCTTCAACCCCCAAATAAAACAGCATCTGCCACGTTTGCTCCTCAGCCCTTAGTTTCTGCCACAGTCGATGAAGTCTTTCCCACAGGTGAATACCGAGACATGTCAACACCTTCAAGATGGTCAGAAGGTAAAAGGGTTTCGATTAATACGGAAAGAAGCTAATCTTATCGTGGAAAAGTAGTTTTGAGGAATGCAACGATAGTTGTATGAGGAAAGAATATCTTACAAGGTAAATCAAACGACTGACAAGATATTGCCACCAAAAAGTTCTAACAGAACTGAAATGAAGGTTTGCTTACTTCCTCCTGGGCAATGTCCAGTGTCTTGGCATGCCTTTCTCTCCTCCTGTCAAAACAGACAAAAGACAAACTTATGAGTCCAGGCCTATACTTGGTTAACAAAATGTTTTGTATCTACTTTGGCAGTTTGCAAAACTCTTAACCCCTGAGGATGGCTAGCGTCTAATTTCTCATTAAGGCATCAATTCTAAATCAAACAGTAGGCTCATGAGAATTACGAAAATGATCAAAAAACTTGGAAAGCTCTCGATTTTTTACTAAATTCTCTTTGTCAGTGTCATTGAAAATGTATAAAGAACAGTAGGGAGAAAATCCATGCTGATGCTGAGGTGTAAGGGCTGGGATCAAATTTAAATTTTTTAACAATTTTTGTTGTCTAAAAAAAAATTTTTTTTGTTTTTTTTTTCCTCTCTATAAACTTGTGTGTCTCTTCCTCTGCCTTGATTAGGCTCTTTTATATGAGGGTGGAAGCTAACATGAAATTTATAATTTGTAAATTAATAAACAAAGTTTGTTGTTGTTTGTTGTTGTTTAGGAACAAATCTAAGAGGTAACACCTTCAGTAGGGTTTTCCGTTGAGAGATGGGAGGGGTAGGGGAAGGTTTTTCACTGCTGCATTCCAGGCATTTTAAGCCTACCTACTGTAGCTTTTGATAACGCTCAATTACCACTTTCTCTCACCAAGGTAAATATTAGAACTGGGTGGCACCCTAGAACACTTTTCATGCTACAAGAAACAAGCTACAGTGATGTAGCTCCTTAATGCTTTTATGAATTGAAATATCTGTGTCTATACTAACTACTAAGTTACATACAGAAGCCTTAAATAAGCCTCATCATAAGCTACATAAAACACGAGACAGTTATTGCCTACCCTCCAGCAAGCTCTGGTTCTGCCCGTCCAATTAAATGGGCAATGTAGTCTGTATCACACAGCACATGGACATGCCGCTCTTGAGGACAGCTTTTGAGACCATCGTACAAGGCAGCACAGTAACTAAACGAGTCAGGAATGAAAAATTGCTTGTTATTTGATGAGATGTTTCAAAACACAAAGAAGAAGGAAAGAAAACTGAAAATCCTGGAGAAAATCCTAAAGCAAGGAGAAAATCCTAAAGCAAGGCCAAAACCAATCAAATTCCCAGGCTTGAAATAATTTCTTGGCTAGCACTGGTCAAATTGTCTGGTTGAACCTATTTTTTGCTCAGATTCAACCCATTTTTTGCCAGAAAAACATTGATATGTCTTGTACCTGTAATAGTGCCCCCCAAATATGTTTAAATATAAAACAAGTAGAGTGGCTGTCTTCTTTCCCTCTTGTTTCATGAATGCCAACAATATTGAGCATTTAAATACTAAAATTGAAACTCTTAATTCCTCCCTTACAAGTGTAAATGACTGGACAAATTGCCTGGCCATCTAAGGAATTGACTGAACAAAACTTAATTCTTGACCAGACATTTTTTGTTTATAAGCAGTTATCTCAAGCCCTAACCCAGCTTACAGCAAGTAGAAGGAGGCACTCTGGCTTGTAAGTTGCTGTACTTCCATCCTCTCATACAGTGTACCTACCCTTTTTCACTTGGCCCATCCAAATCCCCTGCCAGAATACTGTATGCCCTCAAAACTTTTGATTTACACTCTGTACAAAACCTATAAGAACAACAAAGAAGATACAAAGAAACTGGGTAATTCGTTAGGAATTTTTTGGAATTTAGGAATTTAATTTGTTCACCACAGGAATGGCAGTAGAAAGGAACAGAACTTTCGTCCAAATTGACACCTAACCCCTTTGTACCCACCATCCCACCCCGGGGAGGACATCCACCACACAGTAATCTCATGCGTGGGAAATTAACGTCTCCTACCCCTAAACCCTGCAGGAGACAGGGCCTACGGTTTTATTCGTCCTTATCCGAGAAGACTAGGATGTCTATCCATTTCTCGTTATTATAGAAGGGTAGCAAATTCTGCTGAGTTATTTTAAGGCCATGAGTATTGGTCCAGCTGGGGCTTGAACCCTCGACGTCGCGCAAAACACAATCCGGCGCTCCAACCAATTGAGCTAACCAGGTGCAAATTACAGTTGAACATCTTTTGCCTGCTCAGTGTGCATGCATCTTCTGGTTGAAAGCACTGTCCCCACAAAGTACATCAATTATAGGAATTAAAATGAATAACCTAACAGATGCCTTTTATGGAACTCAGTAAAGAAAATTAAAAGAGAGATGACACAAAGATGATCATAGTGCACTAACCTATGCTTTCTGAGGTAATTTTCCAATGTGTCGAGAAGAGCATCTGAGTCAATCAGCACCACCTGTTTGAGAAGAAAAGAATTTTGTCAGAATGCTGAGAATATTATTTTTATCATGTTTTGGTCTGAGAGAAAATTGTACGAGATATTGCATTAGTTTTCCATTCAAGTGCTCCTGTGCATTATGTGAGAGTGTGTCTCAGAACACTAGCAAGTCGTGTGTTTTACTGTCTCAAACAACGTTGAACCCCAATGTTACTGTGATTGTTGAGAGTTCTTGTAGAATTTTTGTTGTACCATGCTATCATCACAGCACCTAGGGTAATGGAAGGTTCAACAGAGGACACTGTGATCCAAAGGCAGAATAAAATTAAAGTTAAAACAGTTGAAGTTAGCTAAGGCCTAGTTTATACGTCGCACTACAGTCGAATTTAATTCAGACGAATTTAATTCCACGAATTTAATTCCATTAAATTCGTCGTTCCGTCGATGTAAATCATGGCGTGGTTTTATGCATCGAAATTAATACTAACAAATTTAATTCTCTTCCCAAATGCAGTGCCTCTGGTCAGAGGTGTCATTTTGAAATAAATTGAAATACATTAAGAAAATGTATGCACTTCATTCAACGCGCGCTAGTGCGACGTTAAAACTGAAGGCTCGTTATCGATATTTTATCTGTCTTACCAAGACGGATAAAACGTCTTGGACGAATTTAATTTACCAGACAAATTTAATTCGTTTTAGACGTCGCGCTATCGTCAAATTTAATTGCTTGTGTGACCTTGAATTAAATTCGTCTGAATTAAATTCGACTGTAGCACGACGTATAAACTAGGCCTAAGTGTCATGGCCTTATTCATGGTTATCAATTAAAAATAAAAAAATCAAATAGCATAGCACCTCATCCCTACATTCCTGTGACAATAAATCCCACACATCTATCCAGCTTCTGTAGAGCACAGATATATTCATAAATCAATCACAAACAGACTTATTTAAGAATTTTTCTAAACGATACAATACAATACATTGGAACTTATTAGAAATACTTTTGAAAAATTGGGCAGAAAGACAGTTACCATTATTCTTATAATCTGAGTAGAAATGAAATTAGTTATCCATATCATGATGTATTTAATATCTAATTCTTTCCCATTCCTGTTGTGGCCACTAATCCTGCTTTTTGCGTAAACTGGAATTATTTGTAGATTGAAAAAAATGTATGATAGAGAGTTCTAAGGTTGCAATTTTTTATTAGAATCAGAGGAACATTGAGCAGAAAAGTATTTAAGATTTATTCCAGCTGTTACATGGATCCTGTCTTCTTTATAACCCTGTTTCATGCCACAGTGTTCAACAATCAAAGACATACATGTACGTTTTTAAAGTTAACATGTTTGGCCATAATGATAATCATTGTGTGCCCAAGTAGCAGTCATCTTTCATCACTTCTATTTAATGGTGAAAAGCCTTGACCTCAAATAGAAAGATGGTGTAAGGATGTGTCCTTAAGATACAACATTCCAGTGAAAAAGGTTGTGCTTGTCCCAAGTATGTAATGTATTTATATGTAAGTCAATTCCTCAAAAACATTTCATTATATTTACCCAGATGGCCTTGATTTGTGTGTTTCCAGTGAATGCAAAGGGCACCTCCTACAAGACATGATACACAGGGGCAAATCACAAAGGTGTAAGACTAGACACAATTAACCAGCAAGTAAACCTTGACATTGAGTTGATCATATCAGTGAATCAATTGATCTACATGTATAAATCAATCATTAACCAGTTGAAGCTATCGAAACAGTCAAACAACTGTTTCTGACTCACAAACATTCTATGAGGAATGTCATTGTCTATTGTGGAAGAGCTTAATAAATGTTTACAAAAACATGAATAAACGGAGATAAACAATACCTGTTTCTTCTGCCCTTAGGAATAGAATCGACCATTTCACTTAGCCTAGATCTGAAGAGAAATAAAATTATATCATCATAGGAGCCTATCGCCTGGCAAGTGCTTAGATAAAAATTCCTGCACTTGATGGCATGAGCAGGGCCATACAAAGCCATATCACCCTGCCAGTAATGATTTAAAGGCAGGAAACAGGGAATAATCAGAGAATGATGGGCACGATATAAAATGCTCAATTGCTGAGTTAGGTTGGGGCAGGCTGAAGAATATTTTGCTAGAGGTCATGGTACACAGACCAAGCCTGGCAAGGTCTGTGCATCATGACTAAAAGCTAAACATTTTTCAACCAGTGCTCCCACCCAGTGAATAATTAGATAGAGTATAATGGTGAAGTTAAAATAAAACAACACAATCTAAATGAACTAATTCACTATTGGAAATGATCATATTTCATGAAATTAACAATGACTTAAAAACTTTATTTCAATTTAACTTGCTCTGGATAATAGCTTTAACTGATAGTAAAGGCTTACTAGATAGTTTAATTATTCAAATAGAGAGCTAGTTTTCATATCAATAACTAGTTTTAATAACAAGAACCTGTCAAAGGAATGCTTATTTTCATAGTACTAGCTAATGCAGAATTAACATGTATCTGCACCACACATTTTAGATTTTTCTGGTACTGACAATGTTCACAGTGCAACCACTTGGGCAAAAACTTACATTCCTCAAACTGCAAATCTAACACACTGTCCACCAAATATCATAATCACAGACACACTTACCCATGTATATAAAATAGTGCATACACAAGTTTTGGATCATTCAGAAATGGTCTATCAATTGTCAAGACTGCAATGTTAATCAAGAAAGCAGAGAACAATGTCAGTGAAAAGAACACAGCTTCAATACTAATAGGATAAAGATACATTCAATTCATGAATTTACAGGATATGAAGAAAATTTAAATCTCCAAGCAGCTGAAGGTGTAGGTGAGTGAAGTATTTGAAATTTCATTAATTCTTTAAGTAAATTAGTTAATATATCAGTCCCTTGCCCTTGCATAACAAAGGTAAAATACCTACCTCCACTACTTGTGATAATCAGTGGTTCCAATGCTGGCTGTCCTGACTCCACCAGCTGATTGTACAATCGCTCAGTACTGTGTACAAGTTAATAGTTGGAAAATTAGGGGAATATTATTTCTTATTTCATTTGTCAATATACCACAAGAGTCAATATACCACAAAAAAAAAAAAAAAACAAAAAAAACAAAAAAACAAAAAAAAACACTTGGAAAGTAAATGGTTTGATACAATGCTATCAATAATAATTAAAGATATGGAGGTCAACATTGGTTACTGTGACAGCCTTTTGTTATCAGAGAATCTAGTTCTCCAGGGCTATCTAGACACATTAATAATAATGGCTAGCCTAATAGAAGAAATGCAGGGGACTTAGAACAGGGAAGAAATCTTGTCAACTTTAATTGCTGTCCCTTTAGTGACCTCTGATTGGGTTGAGAGGTATGAAATTCGTTGTGAGAAGATGATCACAAAATCTAATGCCATACCAGAATGTTTGAGCTACTAAAAGTGTAAATACAATGACTGCAGAGCTCATAGCTGCTTTGATTAAAAACACTTTGAAAATTTAGCATTATATAGTCCATTAATACTTTGGCTATCTCTTATAGAGAATGAATATTGACTCTCATGGCAGAATTCTATTTGTTTGTGCCCTGACTTTGGCCCTTTATATGCCTTATCACATGAAATGCCATCAACCTTCCAGATTGGATGTGAAAATAATAAAAAAAAAACCCAATAGAACAACAAATTAAACTGAGCATATGATCATTTCAGGAACCTGAGGCAACAACTGTTGGCCAGAAAATCCTCAACACAGGACACATTTGAATGACAATAAAAATGAAAACTTTCTGAATCCAAATGGTATTGAAAACAGCAGAATAAGCCCAAGATGCCTTTTGGCAACTTAAAAAATCTGATGGAATTCAATTGAGTGTGATTTCAAATTTATATTCAGTCTGGTTCAATTCATTGTGCAAGGAAAACTCTAAAACCCAAAATATTTGATGAACTGCCATGTAGTTTAAAGCAAAGAAAAACATTCTAGTTGTGGTGAAAAGAGCTTGCTACAAAACAGAACTGGTACGCCCACTCAGGCATTATTTGAGAGTTGACAATTAACATTGAAGTATACAGGCACAATATCTGTGATAAAGCTGCCATTATTGCACTTCCGATATTATTTCCACATATTCACACTAAACATAATTTCTTATTTTTCGCACATTACCACAATACGATGTAACAACTTCAAGTCAAAATGAAGCTATTAAAAACTTCTTAAATTAGAAAATCAATTATGAAAGTTACTGAGATTTCGTTTGCGATGGTGAATAATTAATTTAACAACGACGGGGAAATAATATGAAAATAGTAACATTTGATACCTTCTTCGACAACCAACACACGGCACAGAATGAGAAAGGAAGGATAAAACATCCTTCTGTCTCACTGTCGTCGCAACCGCAAGATCATCGGCGCTAAGACATTGGAATCGCTGCGGACAGGAAGAAATTCAATCAGGACACACGCAATTTGCTGACAAAGTAACATCAGTCCACTACGATCACATGCAGTGTTTACATCAAGAACGAAGACAACTTAGTACTTACCACCATGAATCTCGGTGGTTGATACAAAATTAGTTTCACACTAGACAATCGTTAAATACAATTTTGCAGACTGGCCAGTTTGTTGAACTCAGTGCTCGATTGATTGCTAATGCTCGATTTGTACCTCTAGAAATAATCGCCATCCAGTCTGGTTTACATAATTTCCCCGAAACCAGTACTGCCAACTGAATTGGAAGTGTTAATCCAAGAAGCTGGTTACAAAAGTAGCATCTCAACCGATAAGAACCATTTAAGTTCAAGTAAAGAGATTTCAAAAGACTCTAACAATACACAACCAAGGAAGGAAAGGCAGAAAATCAAACTCACCTTGTGAAACGACTGCAGTTTGTATTCGTTGACTTCTCGAGTAGAAATCACAGTTTCTGGAATTTCCATCACCATCTATGACAATAAGGAAGAGAACAACAACAAGGATGACACAAAACGCTCACAGATTTTTATTCTCTAACGAAGGAAGTCAAACACAATGGACACAAGTTCTTAATTACCGTTAAGGTATCCTCGATATTCAGAGGGATTTGTCGACGCTCGAATGCGAAGTCAGTTTCGTCTCTACACACCGCTACAAGTTTCGCCATTGTAGTTGACCATAAACAGCTTCAATACGCGTCGAAACGGCTTTTTAGAAACGTTTAAGGGATGAAAAAACTCTTGCAGTAATAAATTTTCCAGAAAATCTCCTGGACTTCTGTTTTGGAGGAAACAATTTTGAAAGTAAATATTCTCCTACTCCTGGTAAACCTCGTATACCAACGATCCTAGCGCGCCGCGTGTCCTTACCCAGAATTCTTCACGAATGACAAGTATGTCCCCGACAGGGGTAGGGTCAGGATCGCGTATAAAAGAAGGGAATGTTTGTTTCTCAATTTAGAACTAGCCCTGTCACCAGCTTCATGTGATCATTCTTACTCTTGATGCGCTCTTTCTGTTTCAAATGATGCAGAAAAAATATAATCAATAATTTCAATACTGTTCTTCCTATTCTTTTAGTATTTGAATACTTGCAACTCATGAGGAGAAACGGAAATCTTCCTCTTCCAAAATTTAGCATAAAAAAGCCTAACAGATAGCAGTAGTATTACTTCTATGAGTCAGACTCGCGGGCAGAGGTGAGAAATTAGAGAGCGAGCGTTTACCTGGACAAGCAGTGAGTACCTTTCCGTACAAAAGCTGTAAATCACAATGTTAGAAGGTTTAGAATGATATTACCGAATGACTGATCACTGAGCACTCATTAGCCCGTGTACGCCACTGCGTACCTATATTTGGTTGTTTTGTCATTGCTCAAACTACGAAATGACGTCATTATATTCAAACCGAAAACAACATGTCCGCTTACAGTAGAAGAAGTGATTTTGATTTCAGTCGCAAAACAAACCCGTTTGAAGACGATTCCGACGATGAGTTTGAAAAGGTCAACGGAGATGAAATACGGAGTCAGATGCAGATGGCAAGGGAAAGGACAACGGAGAGTACAAAACGGTGTTTAGCTCTGATTGAAGACTCACACGACATGGCTGTCAAAACCGGAGAAGAACTCCAGTGTCAAGGAGAAAAACTGAATCGAACAGAACGCAACTTAGACAAGATAAAGAGCGACATGAAAATCGCAAAAAGACACATCAAATCGGTTAACAGCATTTGGGGAGCCTTGGGCAATTATTTCAAGAAAGCTCCCCAACCGAAAGAAAACACTCAACAAACTTCGAGTCATACCGACAGTGGTTTGTCAGGTTTAAAAGATGACTCTTCTCTGTGTTATCCCGGTAGAGACCGCGAAAGTGGAAGCAAAGGCTACGGAGCATGGACAGGAGAAGCTGGTCAATTTGAAAGAAGGAGCTTTTCCTCGCGCGACCCATACGAAAGGGAAATCGACGCAAATCTGGATCTTGTGTCACGAGGCTTAGGCCGGCTTAAGGAAGACGCATTGATACTTGGTAGCGAGATCGAACGGCAAAATGAACAGCTAGACAGAATTGGAGTAAAGGCAGATGTAGCTTACAAAACGGTTGAGGAATCAGATAAAAAAGTTCGACGGATCTTGAGGAAATAACTGACTTTTAGCAAATATTCCATGGAAATTCCATGGAATATTGAAATGTTGATTTATGAATATGCCATTCCTGGCATTGATCTGTGATGGATCATGAGAAAAATGAGCTTGAGTTGAAAAAAGTTATATAACTTTGATAAAGCACTAGAAAATTTCTAAAGGAACAATCTGAGGAACTGAAAAATGAGTTTGAGTTTAAAAAAGTGAATGTAGTTAAGCACTAGACAATTATTTCCAATGATGTTTGAGATCACCAACAGTTTTTATGAACCTCACAAACTTTATGACTTTATGGCACATCTGTTATTTTAAGTTGCAGATTGTTCCTTTGTAGTGGATGTGATTGTTGAAAAATTAAATCATGTTAACTTCAAGTGTAGACAGTTCCATTCAGACAAGCAATGCAAATTTGGCTTCATTCTTGTTCTGTTTTATACAACACTACAAAACACAGATAAAGTATTTTGTTCATACTCTCTTTTGTATTGCATTTGGGCTGAGGATTTTTTCCCCTTTTTGCCTCTGGTTGTCTACATACCACACTGATTGGTGCAGTTGTTAAGGCTTTTTCTGGTTTCCATACAATGGATTGACCATCAGTCTTACTCCTCCTACCACTGAGAATGCTAGACCACAAGACCCCCCCCCTCCCACACACACACACACACACGCATGCACGCACACATAAATACTCCTTAGTGGAGAGGTGTCAAACAGGTTAATTTTCTCATCCAAGAAACAGCAATCAAACCTGTCTCCTTTGCATTACTACAATCAGGTGTCTCCCCTTTATGCAGCAGTAAATTAAAACTCCAGACAGGAGATATTCGAGGTATTACGATTTTGTATTTATTTAAGTTATTCCTCAGTCACACTGCTTAGCTCATTATTCATTGGCTACTGTTCAGAAAATAGATCCACAATTTAACCCTGTGCACATCCCTTGGAAGGACCAGAGATGCAATTTGGGAGAAATTATGTCAAAATAAATTATGTGATGGTTTTGGGATAGCCAGGCATTTGAGAAATCAACATTTCAGGGAGCTCCGATTGGTTAAGGACTAGACCTGCTACAAGCACTGTTTGGGAAATGTATTTTTCTTAGGCTAAATGCAATGCTTTCACTGGGACTCTTTTCACCCCCAAGTGTGCATAGGTAATACCAAACTGTACTTGAAATTTGCCAATTAATTTGCAGATTTCATGGTATTGATGTCAGTCTTTCATTCAGTAGGACCACCAATATTCCAAGTCAATGTAAAGAGAGACAAGCATCTAATTTCTCGTGAAGTATTGCCCCTGAATCAAACAGTTATGTCACAAGAATAAAGGAAATGATTGGAAACTAAACATGCTTTTGATCATATGCAAATTCTCAGTACCATAGCAAATGTGTTGAGGACAATATGGAGAAAATGCATTCTGTTACAAGGGTGTTAAGGGTCCATGTTGAAAATAGCTCAAGCAGTGAGTGGCTGTAAGACTTGATGACAATGGCACATCAAGTCACTCAACACTATGATCCCCACGAGGTAATTACCAGCACCTAATATCTCCTTACAATATCAAACCTGACATAAACATTAAGGTCACCAGAATAAAGGAAATGATGAGCAACTGAAGATGCTCTTGATTTTTAACCAATTTCTCCTTGTCAGAACCATAGGAAATACACAAATAACAGTATGGAGAATATGCATATTGAGCAGGTTAGGGTGTAAAGGGTTAACACAAGAATGCACTCCCATAGCTTCTTCAAAATAGAAACTTTAATTCATTGCTATTGATTCAGCTGTATCAAAAGATCAAAATACAGTGGAACCTCGATTTAACGAACCTCTATTTATCAAAGTCCTCAGTATCATGAATGAAAATTCAGTTTCAGCTCAGCTTAAGTTACAGTAAAATGTATGCCACAGAACCTCGATACAACAAACCTTTGATATAATGAACCAATTTCTCTAGTCCCTTGGCACTTTGTTAAATTGAAGTTCCACTGTAATACTTATCAATATGCTTTCAGTAATGTTACATATTTAAGACACTTTATCTCACTCCCCTAAGCCAGCCAACCTGAGCACCAGCTTTGCAAGATAAAAAAATTCACTACACTTGATGTTCTAATCCTGTGCGGATGACGGAATGTATCAGAATTGCTACAGGTCTGTCACATAGCCAATGCTTGATTTCCCTGTAATCATCTCCAAAAATTGAAAAAAAAAAAAATTCCTAAATCAATGTACTCAATGTTCACTTTTCCAGGAAAAAAAAAAAAAAAAACACTTGTGTTTTTGATTCCTAACTTCTATCAGTAAAAGAACATTAAATTTTATCAATCCTCTCTTGCCTTGCTTGAGGCAATGTGCTCACAAAAAAAAAAATGCAAACAGTATTCCCTACCTTTTCAACCTGAAAGTTTGAGGAGCAATAAGTAGAGATCTGTTAACTAAGTAATCATAATCTTAAAATAAAAATTACTTCATAAAATTTATGATGCACCAAAACAAAGGCACTTTTTTTGAAACATTAAGAATTATTGACTGATAACAATTTTTGTTCCGACACATTGCTAAAAAATCATATATAGGTGGGGACCTATCAAGTAATTAAGTTTTACTAAATCAAATGTCAAAAAGGTGAAATTACAAGTAAGAGACAATGATGCAAATAATCTCTGGCACAAGAATTGAATGAGTGTTAATGCAATTGTACCATAATTATAATGAAATCTTAAAAGTGATTTCACTACAAATTAAAAAAAATAAAAAATAAGATAAAAAATAAAATAAAAATTCTTAGAGCTTGTAGTGGTAATTATATACTTAGGTAATCAAATGAATTCAAGTAGACTCGTACAATGTTTTTACACAATCATGTGCATTTCTTGATATTTTCAAGAAATATCATTTGATTGATTTTTAATAATTTACATTTCATTTCATCTTTCTGCATGCCATTTCAGCTTTACGTATTCTTTATGAAAAGCTCTCAGCTAATGGGCCAGCTGAAATTTTGGCATCAATATTAAAAATCACAAACCTTATGCAAGAGAAAGCAATTCTAATTATACCACGAGGCCTTCTTTCTGTGGTACTCAAATTACAAACCATAAATAAATACAAAAATATTATCACCACGGTGGGCAAAGTGTTACTGGTCATATTTCACTTAAGAATTTATATTACTGTAACCACACAGAGGAAACTAGAGCATAAAAATTTATTTGGTTGGAGAGGGTTCAAGAAAAAACCTCACATTTTATGGCAAGAGTGTACAAGAAAATAATTGGTCTTGGCTTGACTGCTTGGTAATTATCAGAATCTGATGTAAGAGTGATAGCATTTGAGATGGACAATTCAAAACAGCATTAGACTATTTACACAGGAACAGTCTACTTCAAGAATTCTACATGTTGGTACCTTGTCTCTGCTTCATTTTTGTGGCACTGCCCTTACCATCACTCTCTTAACCAAATGAATGCCTGAAACAGGCTGTTACCTTATGATTTCATGACCTTGAGAGGCCTTTGGAATAACCTCTGTATAGGTTATGGTGAGACTTTCATCTGCTTAACTTAATCTATTGTTAACACTGATTTCATGTCAAAAACTTAACAGAAGAACATACAACCTCAGACAATAGATAGATACATACATACATACATACATACATACATATGTACATACATAGCTACATACATACATACATACAAAATTTACTTTTAAAATTCAAACAAAGGCATACTGATTTTCAACCGCCCTAGAAGGTGCCTGATTGGCTGTATTTGATGCAATTCGAACAGAGCCACCTTGGATAGTTGCTGCTCTAGTTATCCTGTTTACTTGAAGGCTGTGAGAACGACGTAGACCACCTTCACCTCCATTGCCTGCATGGGCATGTTGCAAGGAGCTTCTAGATCGCGATGAACCAGAACTTGTATAAACCACAAAATTTGTAAGCATTACATCAGAAGGTCCACCACTCTCTAGCGGTATTGGATTAGCACGAAAGTGCTCCAACATTTCAAAAATGCTCTGAAACCAGAGATGCTGGACACGACATTGGCCTTCCACATTCAAGGCAAGCCTGAGATGCTGAAATACAGATTTTTTCAAATTGAGTGTTCACTTAACCACGGCTGTACTCTAAGAAAAATTGAAGGGAGCCCAGTGCTCTGAAACTGTGAAATCCAGAGTGCCCAGCATATACTTTTTATGAAAAAACTAAGATTCCTGAGTCACCCAAGAGCAAAAGTAAGGCGCCAGGGGCCACCGGGCACCGCTAGACCACAGCCCTGCACTTAACCCATACTCCCAAAAGTGATTAACTTGTAACTTCTCCCTACAATATTTGTAAATTATCCAACTAACAGGTAACAACAATACTCAAACTTATTGGGTACATGTAGAATTTTTTTCTTGTCTTCTAAATTCTTGCTATTTAACAAAATAATCACCACAGCGTACACTATAGACCACTTTCATAAATGGCTGCCGTATAAATATTCTTTTGTTTAAATTAAAATGAGTCCTTCTGGCCTCGCTTGAGATAATGTATTCTTTTGAATTTTGTACTGGAGAACGAGGCCAGTAGGACTAATTCAAATTTAAATAAAAGAATATTAATCCGGCAGCCACTTATGAAAGTGGTCGATTGAGTTATCGATGCAGGAGGGAGGTTGCTACGCACGAAAGAAGGGTAGAGTCACATGAGGCAATAGCCAAGAGCGACCTTAGCTTCCTGAGGGCTTAGGAAACATCCCACTGCAAGTGCATCCATAACTCAATAGTGTACACTGTGGCATTCACTATTTGCTTTATAAGATAACATAGATACATTGTAGCAAAGAGTTTTCTTTCATTTAACAAATCTTACGAGACCAGAAAAAACAAGCACACGCAGGAAACTAGTTTGCTCATGTCAGCAGCATACACCCATGGGCAAATGGTGGATGCTGAATTGACCAATCAGAGTGCACGCTTTACTTTGGCTATGTTATAGTAATTTACTAGCAAATGTGCAGCAGCTAAAGGGGAAAACCACAGGGAGCCCATACAATCTGTTTGTGTAGCCGATTGTTATTTTATAGTAAATGTACCAGATTTACTGTTTGCCTCACCTATAGCGATATAATTAATGCCGACTATGTATATAAAATTCATCCAAATGGACCGGAGCTAGCCCTCGAAGAAGATCAAAATCTAACAGTATTAAAGTGTTTGGATGTGTAGGAAGATTCTCATGTGCCAGCCAGAAACCTTCAAGCGGTTGCCTTTTTCTGATTGGATGACATTAAACGATGACCAATTCAAAATACCATCGTTCAATCAGAAAAGGGCAGTCAGAAAAGGGCAATCAGTGTGAAGGTTTCTGCCTGGCACATGAGAATCTTGCTACACATCCCAGATGCCCTATTATTATCCAACTACACTTCGTAGAGTACAAATAACACCAAAGACAAGTACAAATATCATTCGGTATTTGTACTCTAGAGTACTGGTTAAACAGGTTTTCTCGCATCGCGCAAGCGAAGAGTTATTTGTATTTTGACTCGCCCTATGGGCTCGGACGCAGCCCCAAACAGTTTCTTTCTAAACTATCAGCCTTTATACATTTTGCATCTTATCTAGCTGTGTTCCTAATCAATGCATACACAAAATATTCTAACAATGTCAACACAGGGAGTAAATCATTTATAGAACTTCCATGTAAACCCTCAGACTTACAAAGTTTAGACAACCTCCTTGACGAAAACAACATGTTGCATTACTGCTTGATGTAGATATATGATAAAGAATTCTACCTTCATTAGTTGATTGTGGTGCCCCTTGGGCAGAAATCTGCCGCAACAGATCAGGCTGATTAGGTGGAAGAGGGGGTGTGGCCTCACTGCTTGTTGGCGACCGTGGAGGAAGCTCAGGAGGAGGACGGCCATGGGGTAGATCATCTGTAATGCAATCATTACCATTACAAGTAATGCATATTTATTGTTTTAGCCCAGGATTAATAGAAAATCACAAAATTTGCCAATTTTGTGATTTTCTATAGTTCTTGTAGTGTTTATCAAAGAGCAAACAGGGTTTTGAATGGACATTCACAAAAAATTGGAGGTTGACTTTACTTCTTAAAAAATTGAGTCAAATAGTTATAGCTATCACTCTTGAATTTAACTATAATTCTACTTGGTTTTTTAATCTTACCAGTGTGCATTCAAACTTTATTTTCCCATGTTTTCACCTTATTTTCATAAACTGGGTTTGGTGCTACCCAAAGCCAAGTGCCCTGAACTGCCCAAGTTTATCTTATAAGAGTACTAGCTATTCACTGGGGACAGAGTCAAGAGCTGGAGTTGTGGTGGGAGTTGTAAAAGCACTTCCAACCTTGTGAAAATCGAAGTTAAAACAATCTGAACTGTTTCATTTCTTTCCTATTCCCCTTAAGACTCTGACCCTTAATTATGATCTACTGAAAACTAAATTGTTGCAGTCTCAAGCAGAAGCAAAAGAACCAACCAAATAAATGGCTTAAGAACAGGAAAATCCAGTTTCCACTGGATCATTGGGGTACACAATTGTACCAGGTAAACAGCATCAACATTTTTCTTCCAATTCTGTTTGTTTTTAATTTGTCTAGATTGTATGGCTCTCTGCTTCTGATTACAACCCTGTCTCCAACTATGCTGATAGTGAAAACCAGTCTTTAGGGGGAAACTACAAGCTGCTCCATTCTAGGAGCCTCCCTGTCAATTAGTTAAGTTTCCCTCAGGTTGGAAGTGTGCCATTTACAAATTTATGCTTATATCAAGCCCACATCACAATTACAAACATCTTTCACATTATCATAAATTAACAAACTGAAAAACAAAAGAAATTAACACTTTAATTGCAGTTGGAACTGATTAAAAAGAACAACAACCACACCATTATGGAATTATCAAAATTGATGCTAAGTTTGACATGTACACAATTATAATAATATTTCCTTTCAACAGACCTTGATATGTCGGGGTCTGAGGACCGTGAGGTGAAGAAAATGATCCTGTGGATCTGTTTTGTATGTGAAGTGACGAGGGAGTGTAAACATTCCGTCTTTTTGCTAAATTGGACACTGCACCTGTGGATTTGTTATCTGGACAATGACAAAGGCGGAGTTCACAGTTACTGAACTGAAAGTGGTCACTCGTCATGTCAAAATCTATGTAAAGTCGTGTGCTGTATGTTGCCAACATGCCCTTGAACAGGGGAGAGGCATTTGACTGTAGGATGCGAGGTACATGTAGCTTTTTCTCTGTTTCAATGCAATTTTAGCCTTATGGCATTGCTTTCTTAAAAGAAAGGTGATATCATAGCAGCCTAAATGGCTAATGACATTTGCAATTTTCATTTGAAATTTCATAACATTACCATGAATTTAATTCAGTGTAACAACTGCCATATTGGTTTTTCAATAAACTATTATAATTACTGATCATCCAACTCTTTGCCCCCTACAATAACTAGTAAATGCACGTTTGGTCATTATGTGGAGAAATTTCTCCATGAAACCTGAGACATCTTAACATAGGTGACTTATTAAGTTGGATACTCTCTCACTCATTTTAAGGTTGTTCAGTTATGGGAGGTTTAACTATATGTGACCTCTCACGCGAAAACGTACACTAACGGTTATCCGTTCGAAGGGGATTTGCTGCAATAGATATT